TAAAGAATATGAAGGAGTATCAGCTGTGCAATAAAAAATATATAATTCCATTTAAAAAAACATTAATGACCTTTATATATCCTTCACACGTCCACCTACAAAAAAATATAGCACCAGCATATGCCCCTCTCAAAACCATTCAACTTCATCTGAAACATTGTTTGCTATGAGTAATAATAATGACGCAAATCTAGATGGCAAAATGTGGTGAGCCACCCTGCATATATTTACAAAATTGATTTTTAGAATTCCTCAGATATTTATTACTTACATTCTCACCAGTTGAGTCACTACACTAAATCAAACCGTATCGGATAATTACACTTGCAATCGACCTTATTTATAAATATGAATAAAACACAATTATTGTTGCAATGTGATATTAACGGCATTACTAATTTATATCGGTTGGTTTTTCACGATTATGCTCCCTAACTTATTAAAATTTTTCATTATGTACTAACGCTATTAGTTCAATTCATCTTTTGTAAACCATATAAAGCTTTAAGTAGTCTATACCCGGTGATAAATTTCGAAACGTTAATAATTACATATTGTAAAAATAATTGTTTCTTATGTATGTTTATAAGTAACGTTGATTGCAAATGTAATATTCGCCAGTACAGTTAGATTTAGAATCGTTTGATGACTTAATGGATTTAGAATGAAATGCTCATTATTTCTCATCATTATGGAATGTGTTTAAAAATAAGGTGATAAAAAGTTATTTTCAGTTTTAATTTATTATTTTTATTTTTATTTTTGTTATTATTTGTTATCTGTTTGTAGTGTGAGTTTGTTTCATAAGAATTGACAAAGATATCTCGTAATCTTCTGAACATCGATTTCATTTAAACTTTTTACAATTATAAAGTACATCAAAAGTAATAATTTTGGAAAATTATGGCGCACAACTTTTCCAAACAAGGGAGTAATTTATGTTTAGAATTCTTACAATACACGTTTAATTACTTGATAATAATATGATATTAAGAATAAAAATGAAATTAACACAATTTGGTACTTTCTCCTGATTTTTTTGAAAATAATGAAATAAAAGCAAAATAGATTTCCTTTTTATTTTACAGAATATTTAAATTCATATAATAATTTCCACCATTTAATTTTTTTGCGGTGACAGCTGCCACACGTACGGTGCTTTAACAATAAAAATCTGAAGAAATACAATAGGAGGCAACTTCACAAATATACAAATTATCATGCAAATTTGAATAAGTTAACAAATAAGGTCATACAAATTTATTTTATTATAAAGAAAATATATTTCGGCTAACATGTTCACATCTTATAACTGTACAAAAAATATCATACAATTTTGAAAAACTTGAGGCTTTCACGGCCCGGCATCAGACAGGTATTGCTGTTGAGGCTTTCGAGTGTAAACCGGGTCCTAAAGGAAGCGAGTTCCCAACATTTCGCCAGTATTGCAGCTAGCTTCATTAGGGGATATTCTGATAATAGTATCATACAATTTTCCTATTTAAGGTTTTCATATATCTTTCATTTTTTTTTATATTTTTGAGATAGTAATTAGAGGCTGAAGCTTTGAAGGATGGTTCCACCATTATGTATTAATCCATCATTATGTATTAATTTATTATATACAAAAAACTACAAAAATATTCACGAAGAAGAATCTATAATATAATGTACTGTTTATACAAAAAATTGGATGTATACGTGTGTACACATACAAACTATTTAAAATAAAGAAAACGAGGAAAATAAAAAGTATACTTACTAATATTTGATGCAACCAATTTTAAGTGGTGTAGTAGGCGGTGAAAGTATTGTTTCGAGAGAATCTAAAAGAAGCATATGGAAGTTAATTTTTTTTTTTAATTCAGGTTTTACGTCGCATCGACCTTCAGGTCATTAGTGACGACTGGGTCCTGTTTCCTACGTTTTGTTTGGCTATATACTGTGGTACATATTGATGTCTTTCAGGTACTTTAGGGTATTTTTTATGTGCTCCTGTGAAGTTAAGACTTTGGTCGGTGTTATTCCACACTTTTATTAAAAGAAAGACACAAGGAAATAGACACTTTTGAAAATCACTGAAATCAAAAAAATGTTTATTCTTTTATTATTCTTCTAATTAATACCTGAGATACACTAGTTTAGCAAAAATCTTGGAGTGGATGCTCTGGATTCAGATTTAAGTGTTTGTGTGTTTAAAAGAAAAAAAATGTGAAAACTGTTGTAAATCTGATATTATAAAATAGTAAAGTTCAAACTTGTTTAAGTATCATCAATACAAAATTTCTTGTTTAGGGGAATAAAATATTTCATTTGTACCTGTTTATCAGTCTTAAAATCATCACCATCATAAATAATTTTTCGGATTTTCCTGGTTTATTATGCTCCTTACTCTCCTTCCTATTCAATTCGCTTTCTGCCTGCCTGCGTTTTCCGCAGGCTTTCGGCAAATCATCTGAAGAAAATAATCTTTTTTTTTGTCCGAGGGTTTATATATTATTTAGTTTTTGGAAGAAGATGATGATTTTGGAATCAACATACTTGGAATCGACAGACTTAAACTGTTATAAAATTCTACACTGTATATATATTTGTTTAATAACATTCATTAACTCTTAAAGTGATGACAAGTTGCATTTATAAAAACTTTGAAACTGTGCAAATTCAATTTTTTCGGAAATAAACTGTAATATGAAAAAATTGTATTTTATATTTTTTCCTTATTTTTCATATAAATTCACCTTATTTTCCACCATGTATTCACAAAATTGTATCACCATTTTGAAAACACCCTGTATATACATATATAGAAAATATATGTATGTATAAACAAAAAAAGACTTCATAAACACAAGGACCACTGGTCTGTTCACTTTGAATATCGATACAGAAATGAATCTTCTATTTATATGATAGCCTTGTGATCGTTAAATTCTTCTTCACTGTATGTAAACAAGAGATAAGAGTTGGATTGGTTAAGATGTATATGTATTTGGCTACCGTGAGGTGGCTGATAACATGTGCCAAATACTGCTACTGATGCATGATTAATAATAACATTTTCATGAACATGTTGGAAGTATGTAACCATCAAGAACAATTGTGATAATTTATATTGTATATAATGCAATTGTATATTTGAAGACAACCGATAAAAGTTTTGAGCGTACTGAATAGACCTTTTACTCCAAAATTTATTTTTAATCTAAGTACAAGGTAATTTTTCCAATGGTTTGATTAGGTTAAGTAAGTAAGGATGCAGTTACGATAATTATAATTTTTTTATGTTTAGATAATGCAAAATTATAAATGAATACGTTTATCCTAAAGGGTACACTTTTTATTTTTAGTTAAACTAATAAAAATCCACATTTTTGATAGAAAAAATATTGAATTATTTAAAATGTTTATATGATGCAGTAATTACACAAAATTCATGACATGATTTAGTTACGAACTGTTACTGTTCCAAATATTAAATATACATCAACTCATAAAAAAATCAAGACACTAATATATACAATGCAAAATAAATAAATAAAGTTTTGCAAGAGAATACGTTGTTTAGAAACATATCAACTGCAATCCCTTGCCGAGAGTAACACTAATTGTGAAATACCCTGTAAAACATACGCGTTCTTTTAAGATAGAAATTATTTCAAGGACTTGTCGACAAGCATACTGTTTTATGTTTCAAACACAATATTATGCAATGCACGTAAAAATATGAGAGTATTTGAATTATAATTTTATAAATTTCAAATTGATTTAAAACATATAAAGATTCAAGTTCTGCGATTTTTTCTATTTCTGTGAAAACTTATCTTGATGGCTATTTGGCGAATCAAAATAATTTCTTGTTATATTCGTAAATTTGTGCGTCATTTTTTAGATCAACATCACTTATCTAATTTAGAATGTACATTTGATTCAGTACACTGCAAATCTAAGGAGTATATTCTCTATGTGCAGCAACTTCCTGATAAAAATTTGATATTTATCATACTTGTTAAAGTTCGAAGTTCTGAACTTGGCTGTCGCGGTGTAACCACATTAATCATCATCGACCATCCTAAATCTTTTTGAAAGTATAGCCGTGCATAAATTGCGCTTGATTAAGGCAATAATTCTGCGGATTGGAAATATCTAGGTCGCATTATATCCACGCGAGTGTTCGACGACCGCAGAGACAAGAAGCAAATGTGTGTCAGAAAAAAAGGATAGCGTTGAAATTGTAGGACACATGGTAAGAAACAGAATATTGAGTAGTTAGTTTTTAGAGAGAGAAAGCTAAGTCAAACCGTGGTTTAGTCAAATCATCAGCCCTTTCAATAAACTTGGTCTTCTTCTACTTGTTCTCGCTTCTGGTTTCAAGCTTTCCTCAGTTTCTTGCACGCGTGTGATCACGCCCCTTCAACACGCCGCGTCAGTTGCTCGAAAATAAGAAAACTGAAGATTCTGAACACGTAACCAGCCGGCAATAATTACATTTATGACTACAGTCAATTTCTATAATCAATAATTGCAATAAAGGTCGTTGAAAATATTATCTAGGTGTGCTGCATAGGCAACAGATAAAAGCAACGTTTTATAAAGCGTAGCAGTTTACCAATATATCAAATTTATATAAAGTATCTTACCTCACTTAAGCATTTTAAACATCTTACTTATTTCTTATAATAGAAAAAAAATGTAAAGAGAAATTACTTTTTGAAGGAGCAAATATTATGATGGTTAAGATAACTTTCTGAAAGTCCTTTTTTTTTTAAATTAAGGTCATTATGGTTTTTTAAAATAGGATAATTAATTTTCATTACCATGGCATTATAGACGAGTTCAAGACGACTCCAGCGACCTACAATACTATGACATTCGCGTAACCTTGAATACAAAAAAATGCATAGTAACTAGGCAACTGACTGACAGAGTGAAATAACTGATAGAAAGATTAATGAAGGAAATTTCACTGCAGTAGGTGCTCAAAATGATGTCCAGCAGCTTCAATATAAATCTTTAAACGATTAAGGAACGAGTCTCTGTTTTTTATAACTTGTTCGTTGATATTATCACAAGCAATTCTAATACGTTCTTCCATGTTTTCCGGTGTTGTAGGAATGCCGGTATAAACTTCTGATTTAATCGCACCCTAGAAGAAAAATCTGAAGATGTAAGACGTGGTAATCGTGTAGACCTTTAGAATATTTGTGCCACGACCAATCCACCGTTGCGGAAATTTTCGGTATAATATTTGAAGAACGCGTTATGGAGGTGGAGCTTCGTTATGTCCAAACCACATTCAACATTTTTGAAATATAGGAATTTCTTCTAATAATTCCTGTAGCTTATTAGCTAAGAAATTGGCATACTTTATCTAAAATACCATTAATAAAAAATGATCTAATAACCAAAGAAGATAAATAGTGTATACACTACATGATATACAGAAATTTTAGTGTATATTTTTCCTTTAAAAAATAGAAGTTTTTCCAATCTTTTTCTTTTTTTTATTTTTGTCCAATCCCTTATGATATAAGATTTTACCTTTTAATTTACCTACTTTGTCACTTTTTATCAAGTTTTATTTTATCTTAATACTGTGGCATATCAAATTGTGCATTCATGACAATCATATTATCATTTCTCTACAAAAGATCTTCTTACACAGCCGAAGAAATGGAATAAATACTATAAAAATAAGTAAAAAATCGAATTAAAAACCGTGTTATCAAATTAATACATTTAATAGACCGTAATTAATGAATCGCTTATACTATATCAACATCGTTTCAACTATCAAAATAAAATTTTTTAATAGAAATTTTGATTCATGATAAATTCAAGGATATCCAGAAAAAAGGAGAAACACGAAGCAAGTTACCGAGGGTTGTTAACCATCAATCTTGATTCGATCTGTTCGAAACACTTGGCACGCGAGACTTATTCATCTTGAACCAGTGATACTGGCCGTGAGATGCAATCTATGTGAATGCATCTACAGTTTTCTGAGTATTCATCGTGGTCATCTGTTCGCCATATTTCGGACAGGGCGCGTGCCGTGTCGATAATACGGTGGTACCAGTCCAGTGACAAGCGGTAAGAAATTACAGTACCAAAGAATCGATATCAAGGCAATAATTTATGCGAACAATAAGACATATGGTTCAACAATCAAGTACAATTGAACAGTCTATCGATGACTTTGTAGTAATTGTTTTAATAAGAAGGAGCATCTTCGTTCGTGTCATTTGTTTTACCCCCTTTAAAGATATTTCTGTTTAACGTTCATTTTTAAGGTGATTTTGTCGAATTTATCTGACACAGAATTCATGCAGTTAACAAAATTTTAATATGTACACTGTAAAATTCATATGTTTTTCATTATAGTCGATTGAAATTTTAATTGCCCTTTAGCGGAATCCCTGTTGAACGTTCATTTTTAACGCCACTTTGTCAACTTTTTTTTATAAAAATTACATACTGTCTGCAATACTTCAAAATTGCATTAATGGCAACATTTTTACTTGTTACTGAGAAAATAAGATGTTGAATTTTTATTTCAATTTCATTTGTTTTGCTTTATCAGTATCTTTGAATTTTGTGTTTTATTTCTGTTGTTATTATAATATTTGCCGTCGCATTGAAAAATTCGAGTGAAATTGGCATAGATTCAGATTTTCCCTTTTTGTCATTTAACTGGGGAGGCAGTGTGAAGTTACAATAAAATATTAACTTTTCTTTATCTTCATGTTGTAGAATACATTTTTAAGTTAGTTAAGTTTATTTCAAAGGAGCTGAAAGGGAAGTTATTAAATAATGAAGAAACCCTTTGAAGCGATTGCTTATAGAAATGCAGAACTCTTTAATACAGAAATAACCCTGAGGATGTAAAGATAACACCACATGATTAATAACTTTGTGAGTGTAACACTCGGGGAGGATCCCTCGTTACTTGCTATAATTTCTCTGGGAAAGCCAGATTTGCTTTTGACTGTACATCATTTGTCGTTTCAAGTGCTCATTTAGCGAAAAGACAAGAAACGACAGAAGTCTCTCGTTACAAAACAATTTTTAACCATCGATTTACTGTGACAGCCCTATGCCAGACAATTAGAAGGTAATTAATCCCCTGCACCTCGTTTGTAATAGCCGACCACCGAGCACGGTCACGCTTTGCCGGTCAGGATGTAACCGATGCAACAGATGACACCGACTTCTTGATGGCACCACCCAGGCCTATCACTATACCATGGATACCGCATTTATTCTCCGCCCCATAGACTCGTGCCATGTGGCTTTCCCCTTAGCCACGTGGGACCATCTTCCGACACGTCATCGGTATAGCTAATTTACGATCTTCTTTCGGGTTTCAACGTATACGCTTTTCGACTTAAGCGCAGCGAAATAACCGATTATTGAACAACTCGTCGAGACATTGAAGATCTTTGTTATAGGGATAATGATATTCTGATGATGGTTATGTTCTGTGTTGATACGAATGGCTGAATTGGTACAATTTGAATATTAGGGGTTAACTCTAGTGATTTAATACTCCGAGTATTACTTTTGGGGATTTTTCGGACCTCGATCGAAAAACTGATATGCTCTAGTGATCCTT